CAGGACATAGAGGTCTGGACACGGACAGGTGGTGAGGCGAGAAAGAGAAGGGACGAAGGCCCAGGGAACGTGCTGGAGTGATGAGGGGCAGTGTGCTCACTGAGCCGAGGGATAGGGAGGCAGGGGGCCAAAACCCTGGCAGGCCCACGGGAGTCAGCCTGGCCAGCCACACCCTAGGCATCCACCTGCCACAATGGCTTCCCGGTCCCCTTCCCGATTAGGCCGGATCCGGATGAACTCCTGCCGCAGGAAGGGAGCCACATCTGTGTTGCTGTTCACGAATATCCGGACAGGATTCTTCAAAGAGACAGAGGCGAGGTCTTTCACCTGGAAGCACAAAGTCGGGTTTGCTGGCCTCTCTGGGGAAGGCGGGAAAGGGGCAGAGCACACTGCATGCCCTCTACCGCATGCACTCCACAGAAAAACCCTGGGCCCACCTCGTCCGTCATGGTGGCCGAGAAGAGCATGGTCTGGCGGTGGTGGGAACACATTCGGATGATCTCCTTCATCTGCTCCTCAAAATACTCGTCCAGCATCCTGGTGGGCAGGGAGCGAGGGCACGAAATAAAATGGTGGGCACTCCCCAACATAGAGAGGGCACAGAGAATGGCGCCAGGTTGTGCTTGATTTCACCCTGTCGTCAATCATCTACCAAGAATGATTATTCCGCCATGTCTGCTTTGTCTTTGTATTTTTCCTGAACCATTTGCAAATACATCACAGCCATCAGGACAACTCAGCCCAAATATTTTAGCACACGTCTCATAAGGACAATGACCTTCCACATACCACAAGGTCACCATCACACCCAAGACAGTGATGAGTCTCAGTGACATCTAAAGGACAGGACACATTCCACTTCCTCCACTGCCCTAAAAACATTATTTTTTTTGAGAGAGATTTTTGCTACAGGGCACGTGCGCTCGCCAGACAGAGAGAGACAGAGAGACAGAAAGTAGGAAATTATCCCCCAAGGGGGATGGCCACACTGCAATCCCTTCTCCTCTATTCTCCTATCGGGATCTTGGGCACGCATGCACACACGCCCGGTGTGAGTTTAAGCCACCGGGTCCGGGACTCGAACCGCAGTCGACTACATGGGAGTCCAGCGACATAGCCATTACGCTAACTGCTGGTCCCCCCCTAAAAACATTTTATAGGGACCAGCAGGTGGCGTGGTGGTTAAGGCGCTGGACACTCCCACATGGCTGACCAGGGTTCAAATCCTGAATCTGGTGGCTTGCTTTCTCACTTTCTCTCTCGCTCTCATTCTGACCCTCGGTCTCTCTTTGGTCAAATTAAAAAATAAATGAATGAATAAATAAAATAAATAATTATTAAAAAAAAAAAATTTTATAGCCCCTGTGCTTAGTCCAGGGGCCAAACTTTCCATGTTGCTAAGTGTCTGTCCTGTTCTAATTCCCTATAACACCTGCTAGATTTCACACCCTGGATCTAAGTGTTTCCAGGTGAGTGGATTCACGGATACCTGAGACCCTGCTACTGGGTGCTGTGCCCTTCATCCTGCTCCCTTGGCACCACGCAGTGACTGGTCAATCAGTCCCAGTGGCGTCTGCCCGATCTCTACGACACACTCATACATCTTCCCTCGCAGTGAGCAGTTATCTGTGGGCCAGCCTGCAGCGCAGTGCTAAAGCACTGTGCACGGGATCCTGGATCCCATGTGGCCAACCAAGGTGCAAATCCTGGCTCAGGTGGCTTGAAAAATACACAGGAATTGCAACATCGCCATGTCTCATTGAAGGGGGTACGCTCTCTCTTCTCTCCCCTCCCCTCCCTTCTTCTCTAGGGAGTATATGTACCCTCTGACTTTTTTTTTTTTTAAGAAATTATTTTATTATCATTTTTTTAAATTTATTATAGGGCACACATGCTTACCAGAGACAGAGACAGAGAGACAAAGTGAGAAAGCAAGTAACTAGGTACAGGACTCGAAATGCACTTGGCCATGTGGGAGTCCAATGCCTTGACCACACCACCTGCTGGCCCTCTTCTGGCAATTAAAAAAAAAAAAAAAAGAAAGAAAAAGAAAAAAATTTCCAAATAAACTAAAAATAGGGCCAACTAGAGGCATGGTAGGTAAGGTGGCTGGATTCCAAGGCTAACTACATGGTTTGAGTCCCAGATCAGTAACTTGAAGACATGCCAGATATGTGTGCATGCATGCCCAAAACCTCACAAGAAGGGAGATATGAAAGAAAAAGGATTGTGGCATGACCACTCCCATGGGGAGGGAGCGTTCCTACTTTCCTCTGTCTCTCTCTCTGGCAAGTGCATGTGCCCTCTGGCAAATTTTAAAAAACCATTAAAAATTAGAAAATACAGGAACCAGCAGTTAGCGTAAAGGCTATGTCACTGGATTCCCACGTAGTCGACCGCGGTTCGCGTTCCGGACCCGGTGGCTTAAAACTCATGCCGGGCGCGTGTGCGTGCGTGCCCAAGATCCCGAGAGGAGAATGGAGGAGAAGGGATTGCGGCGTGACCATCCCCTCTGGGGGGTGATTTCTCGCTTTCTGTCTCTATGTCTCTCTCTGTCTGTCTGGCGAGCGCATGCGCCCTATAGCAAAAACCTCTCAAAAAAAAAATTAGAAAATAACAATAATCAAAAAACAATATAGTTACCTACATGCTCATTCTGACCCGACTCTTTACGGCACTCCCCCACAGCACAGACCCCAGCCGAGGACTCAGCATCACACTGAGCGGCCGTGTATCAGTCTCCTTGGTCTGACATGCAGCCTCAGCCTTCCTTGGTCTTCTGAGACATGACAGTTTTGAAGAACAGTTTCCCTCCCCTTTAAAACCTAAATCAGATCATGCCCTCCTGGGCTAAAATGATCTACTTTATCATGGAATGGCTCAGGAATGGCTCACATCTCCGAGGAGTCAGCCAGATGGTGAGTCCGGAACTCCTGAGCACCTGCCATATACCAGACCCGGCCACAGGCTGAGGGACACAGCAGAATCCTCTTCATGAACACTACGTGCTGGAGGGAGAGGAGGGACACGTACACTGCACAGACCTGCCAGTAGGCCAGAGGGTAACAGCATCTCAGGGAATATAGGACGGGAGGGAAGACGAGGCCAGGTGGAAAGCGGTAAAGCCTCTCTACTCTAGTGACAGCTGGAGCAGAAACTGAAGGCAGTAAAAGAACTCATGCCAAGCAGAGACAGCTCCAAGGCGGGTGGGCTGACAGGAGGGACCCTGGTGGGGTGCCTGCTCCCCTGCCTGGCTCTCATGCTCTTGAAAGAAAGGAGGAGGAGGAAGGACAAGAGCGAGAAAGAAAGAACATTAGAGGGGGAAAAGAAGGAGGAAGTGGTGGTGGTTGGCCCAGATGACCAAAGGACAGTCATCATTTGCCGAGACTGGGAGAGGGCAGGGGAGACCTGGGGTCAGAGGCTTGTTTAAGGTCCTGTTTAGCCCAGAGATGCTTCAATCAGACCTTTGACATGCTCTAGGGTTATTTTTGATGCCTTCCCCAGCCCCTCCCGCCATCCCCAGTTCACTGAAGTCCATTATGCTCAGTCATGAAGGAAAGGTGAGCAGATGAGACACAGGAGAGAAGGAGAGAAGGAGGGAAAGAAAGGAAGGAGAAGGGCAGGGAGAGGGGCACAGGCAGAGACCACTGCTGGAGGCTCCCTATGCACTGACGCTCAACCTGCTTTACTCCTTGGATCCTCACACCATGAGACAGTGCCATTCTCATCTATCATCTACAAACAAGAAAAGGTTGTGAGGTCAACTGGTAGCATGGTGGTTAAGGTGGATGGATCCTATATGACCAATTTCATGGTTTGAGTCCTAGATCCAGGAGCTTACCAATTTCATGGTTTGAGTCCTAGATCCAGGAGCTTAAAAAATCTGCCAGGCAGATGTGCATGCCCAAAAAATCCCAAGAGAAGAAAGGATTGTGGAGTGGCCATCCACCCTGGGGGATGATTTCTCATTCTTTCTTTCTGGCAAGTGCACACACCCTCTAGCAAAAACTTAAAAAAAGAGAAGAGAAGCTTTTGATTTGGGGACTCTAAAGAACATTTCCAAACCTCAGAATATAGGAGACCTACCTTTTTTTTTTTTTAAGAGAGATTTTTGTTCTAGGGAGTGTACAGTTGCCTGAGAGACACAAACCAAGAAATCACCCCCTTCGGGGGATGACCATGCCACAATCCCTTCTCCTCCAGTCTCCTTTTGGGATTTTGGGCACACAGGCTCATGGGCCCGGCATGAGTTTCAAGCCTTGGGTACAGGACTGAAACTGAGGTCGGCCACGTGGGAGTCCAGCAATGTAACCATTACACCATCTGCTGGCCCCAGACCTACCTCTCTTTACCCCATCCTATGACAGAGGGTTCCAGATGAGCAGGGGCCCAAGTTGAACAGCCGACTCAGCACCCTGCATGCGGCACAAGGTAGGGAGCAGGCCCACTCGGGGCTAGGGTACCTGTCAGCCTCATCCAGGATGAGCACCTCGACGTTGCTCAGGTGGAAGGAGGGGCAGTTGTGGAGGTGATCAATGAGCCGACCCGGGGTGGCAATGAGGACGTCAGGTGCTGCCCGGAGAGCTGCTTCCTGAGACTTCACATCCAGGCCGCCTGCAAAGGGGACAGCCCCACGGGGCAGCTGCTGCAATCACTCATCAGTGCTGCGTGCACCTGCCCCTGCCAGGACCCATGCCAGGTGCAGAGGGGAAGGCAGAGAACAGACTGAGAAAGGCCCTGCCCGTCAGGGGTTCGTGATACACTTGGAAAGACGCGGTATTTAATTAGAACTATGCCAAGTGTGGAAACCCAAAAAGATCATGACAAAGGCAGGTCAGGAAAGAAAGAGCGAGACATCGAAGTCCTGAGCGAAGCAGCCATGGAAATGAATGCCTCTGAACATGTGGACAAAAACCACTGCTGGGAACCAGCAGTTAGCGTACTGGCTATGTCGCTGGACTCCCACGTAGTTGACCGCGGTTCACGTCCCAGACCCAGTGGCTTAAAACTCACGCCGGGCACGTGTGCATGCGTGCCCAAGATCCCGAGAGGAGAATGGAAGAGAAGGGATTGCAGCGTGGCCATCCTCCCTGGGGGGTGATTTCTTGCTTTCTGTCTCTCTGTCTCTGTCTGTCTGGCGAGTGCACACGCCCTATAGTGAAAATCTCTCAAAAAAAACACTGCTGATTCCCAACCCCATAAGAAAGGTAAAATGGAGATCAGGTAACACTGTCATATAAGTTCATCAGAAAAATTCGGCCCTAAATAACACCTCATCCATTATTTACATGAAGCAGAAATTGTATCCTAAACTTGTGCAGTATCAAGGAAAATATTTTTCATCATTTCAAAGCTTCATTTTTCAAGGATGGCTAAGCCTCAATCAAATCTCCCCTCACCGCCCTATCTACTATGAAACTCATCAATCAGTTAAGTGGACTCAGTCAACGCGAAGGCCCTTCCTGGTGGCTCGTCCTCCCTGCACCATGTCATGGTCTGTCACGGGCTGGTGGCTGTCACCAGAGACTCACCCACAGCCAGGCAGGTGGTGATGCTGCAGAACTGAGCCAGCTGCTTGGTGACGGCATGCACCTGGATGCCCAGCTCTCGGGTGGGAACCAGCACCAGCACGCGGGTCACTGGGGCCTGGCGGGGTTTATAGATCAGTCGCTCCAAGACAGGTAGGGCAAAGGCAGCAGTCTTACCTGAAGGGAAGGGAAGTAAGAGGCAATGAGGGTGCCAGCAGGTGGCATAGTGGTTAAGGTACTGGACTCCCACATGGTTGACCATGGTTTGAGACCCCAACCTGGTGGCTTGAAACTCACTCTGGGCACATGCACACAGTCCTCAAAATCCTGAGAGGAAAAGGGATTGCAGCATGGCCATGCCCCTTTGGAGGTGTTTTTTTGCTTTCTGTCTCTGTCTCTCCAGTTGTGATCTGTATCTCCCCAGGGAGTGTACACTTTATAGCAAAAATACTCTCAAAAAAAAAAAAAAAAAAGTAACGAGGTGAGGTCATAGCCTCCAAGGTTTGGGTTTCACCTGAATACACAGAACTGACATGTCTGGTCAGGGGAAATGAAGCAAATTATTTATCATAAAATTATCTTTTTGCTTTCAAAGTACATAGTCATTGTAAAAATAGCTGACAAATATAAAAAAGTATGACAATAATAAAAAACACTCACCGGGGGGTTAGCAGGTGACATAGTGGTTAAGGTGTTGGACTCCCACATGGCTGACTGAGGTTCAAGTTCCAGACCCAGCAGCTTGCTTTCTCATTTCTCTTTCTCTCTGTCCCTCTCCAGCCAAATTAAAATAAATAAATAAATAAAGCTAAATAAAATAATTCTTAAAAAAGGAGAAAAAAACCCATAGTTTAGCCAATCAGAGATAAACATTAACTAAATGCTATCTATATTACTTATCTTTTTTAAAGACAGAAATATAAAAAATCAATTTTAATATAACACTACAGATTGTGATCTGTAAAATTTTTTAAAGATTTATTTTATTTATTTTTATTTATTATTATTATTTTTAAATTTGACCAGAGAGAGAGAAAGAAAATAAAAAAGCAAGCTGCCAGATCCAGGACTCAAACCACAGTCTGCCATTTGGGAGTCTAGTGCCTTTACCACCACACCACCTGCCAGCCCTGTAAACTTTTTAAAAAAACTTAGCAATGGGTGGCCAGCAGGTGGTATGGTGGTTAAAGTGTTAGACTCCCATATGGTTTGAGTCTGGGCCCAGCAGCTTGAGACTCACAGCAAGTGCATGTGTATGTGTGCCCAAAATCCCTATAGGAGAATGGCAGAAGAGACACTGCAGTGTGGTCATCTCCCCAGTGGGTGATCTCTCACTTTCTGTTTCTCTCTCCAGTGAGCACGTGCACCCTATAACAAAGAGCTCTCAAAAACAAAACAAAACTTGACAATGGGGCGGAACAGTGGTGCAGCAGTACTATGTGATGCTCTGCAAGGCTGACCCACATGGGAAGGTTCCCAGTTCATATCCGGAAACTTCCCTGAGTCTGCTATAACCACCACACCACCTGCTAGCCCCATCACAGTAGTCTAAGAACTGATTCCTCCAACTCCCTGCTGTGGTTGTAAAGAGTCAGGAGAGAGGGTGACCTGGTCTCCCTGCCCCTCGGCTCTCCCAGTCTCTGGGACTGGTGGTCCAGGCCGCACTGGATGTTGACTCATTTCTCAACCTCTTCCCAACAGAGCTCTCTCCCTATATGCCCAGTTTCCTCCAGCTACAGCCACAGGGAATGGGGTAGGAGGGAATAAACTAAACGTTCTGTAAAATGTTGCTATGAAGACAAAGTAGAAACCGGTCAATTCAAAAGTTCCCCCAAATCTTGGGAACCAGCAGTTAGCGTAATGGCTATGTCGCTGGACTCCCACATAGTCCACCGCAGTTCGTGTCCAGGACCCGGTGGCTTAAAACTCACACCAGGCGCATGTGCGTGCGTGCCCAAGATCCCGAGAGGAGAATGGAGGAGAAGGGATTGCGGCACGACCATCCCTCCTGGGGGGTGATTTCTCGCTTTCTGTCTCTGTCTCTCTGTCTGTCTGGCGAGCGCACGTACCCTATAGCAAAAACCTCTCCCCCCCAAAAAAAAAAAAAAAAGTTCCCCCAAATCTTCAAAATTAATGGAGATGACCAATGCAACATGAACATCTGGAAACTTTTAAGACAGTACAAAAAGCCAAGTATCAGACTCAAGTCAACCTAGAGCCCAACTCTGGGGTCAACACCCAGCCAGCATCCCTGTCATGGTTACCTGTCCCAGTGGCTGCACAGGCACAGATGTCCTTCCCCAGCAGACCCACAGGTATGCATGCCTTCTGGATCGGGGTGGGCTGCTTGAAGCCCATGGCTGTGATGGCCTAAGAGAGAAGATAGGATTAGATGGAGCAGAGGTAAGGGGAGGGTCTCAGAGCAAAGCGGGGCAGGTTTCCAAAATGTAACTCTATATTTTATTATTATTTTATTTGTGATAGAAAGTACGCATACATGTACAACAAAAGACAGAGAGAGAAACAAACTTTAATCAGGATCTGGTCACACTGCAATCCCCTTTCCCCAACCTCCAGCTTCTCAGATCTTGCTTGCCCACATGACCAGTACATTCAACATGTTTCAGGTCAACCAGGTGAAGGATCCTAACTGCGGGTGCCATGTGGCTTCCAGCATTGCAGTCCGGCACACGATCAGCTGCACCGCAGAGGCTGGGCCTGCTAACTCTGTCAATCCCACCCCTGCCAGTCATTCACTCCACAAACGCTGAGCACTTACTAGGTGAAACACTTTTTTAGGCACTGAGGACACAGTGGTACACCAAAGAAATAACCACTTGCTCTCAGTACCTTACGGACCAAATAGACTCAAAAAAAATCACACGTCATATGGGAATAAATGCTATGGAAAAAAGTTCAGGGGGGTAGGGATCCAGCAGTTAGCGTAATGGCTATGTCGCTGGACTCCCACATAGTCAACCGCAGTTTGCATCCCGGACCCGGTGGCTTAAAACTCACGCCGGGCGCATGTGCATGCGTGCCCAAGATCCCGAGAGGAGAATGGAGGAGAAGGGATTGTGGCGTGACCATCCCCCCTGGGGGGTGATTTCTCGCTTTCTGTCTCTCTGTCTCTCTCTGTCTGGCAAGCACACGTGCCCTATAGCGAAAAAACCTCTCCAAAAAAGAAAGAAAAGCTCAGGGGGGGCAGGGGAGGGTGGGAGGAGGAGAGGGCACAGAATCCACAGGAGGGTTGGCAGGGAAGACTCTGAGCAAGGCCTCATTGAGTTGATCCCTGAAGGAAGGGAAGGAGTACCCAACAGATTGCTGGAAGAAGATTCTTTGAGACAGAGGGAACAATAAGTGCAAAGGTCGTGAGAAGGGAATGCCTGACCTTTTTGAAGGCCACCAAGGAGGCCAGTGTGACCAGGACAGAAGGAGTGCAGGGCCTTCAGGGTCCATATAAGGACTCCAGCTTTGATCCCAAGAGAAAGTGGGAGTCACTGGATGGCTTGGAGAAGAAGAGGAACATAGTGGAACCTTTTCTTAAGTGAGAGATTTTGCTATAAGGCACGTGTGCTCACCAGAGAGACAGAGAGAGACAAGACAGAAAGAGAGCAATCAACGCTGAGGGGATAGCCACGCCATAATCTCTTCAGCTCACTCTTCTCTCAGGATCTTGGGCATGCACACACCCCACCTGAGTTTCAAGTCACCAGTTCTGGGACTTGAACCTCAGTCAACTACATGGGATTCCAGCAACGTAACCATCACACCATCTGCTGGTCCCAATGGAACATTAAAAAAAAAAGTTTAGGAGACATTATCTCTCTTTTTTTTAGGTTTATTTGTCCCATGAGAGAGACAGATGGACAGAAACAGAGAGAGAGAAAGGCACCCGGACAGGATCCCCATGCTGTGATCCATCTGGTGCTGGTCACGTATATACATACATGTACCAGTGTGCTCAGGGTGCTCCCAGGACACAAACCCAGGCCTTTTCTCATGTGGGTCCAGTTTTGGGGTGGGACCGCGTTCTGACACCTGGTCCCATGATTGCACTTACCATATAAGAGGGTTCTCTGGCAGCTTTAGAGACAACAGAGTGGAGGGAGGCAGAAAAGGGAAGCTGGGAGCCCAGTTAGGAGCAACTGCAACCCCCTCCCCCTGGTAGCCTAAAGAAGCTGCTACCTTCAAAAGAGGGCGGGAAAGGTTCATGTCCTGGAACGAAAGGTTTTCATCATACTCAGATGCATCTTCAAAAAATCCTCCAGCCTCCTTCAACAGACAACCAAGAGACAGAGAATGAGATTTCAACATGAAGGCCAGAGAAAACCAAACAGCCTTAAACTCTTTCAAGTTGCCAAAAGGACCTCCACATGGTCTCCCAAGCCCACTCACCTGTCCTTTCTTCTTCTTCTTCCGCTCCTTCACTTTGAGTGTATCTATGGGAAAAACACAGCTGGTAATCAGGGCTCTCCCACACTGAGCACCTGCGATCTGCCAGACTCTCTCCAAAGTGCTTTATGGGACTGCCTCAGTGAACCAGCACACCAACCTGTGAGGAAGCTACTGTCATTAGCCTCCTTGCACAGATGAGGACACCCTGGCAGTGCCATGAGGTAAGTGACCTAGGCTAGCCAGGATGCAAACCCAGCGAGTCTGGTCCAGGCACAGGCTTTCAACCACCATGCAACATTATAACATGTTAGCACATGTTTCTGCAATAATCCTTTTTTTAAAATTGCTTTATTTAACTTTATTGATTGTAATTATTTTAATTTTATTTTTTTGAAGTTGACCAGAGAGACACAGAGAGAAAGAGAAGGAAAGTGAGAAAGCAAGTTCCGGGGCCAGCAGTTAGTGTAATGGCTATGTCGCTGGACTCCCATATAGTCAACCACGGTTCGTGTCCCGGACCTGGTGGCTTAAAACACGCCGGGCACGTGTGCATGTGTGCCCAAGATCCCAAGAGGAGACTGGAGGAGAAGGGATTGTGGCATGGCCATCTCCCCTGGGGGGTGATTTCTCACTTTCCGTCTCTCTGTCTCTGTCTGTCTGGCGAGCGCACACACCCTATAGCAAAAAACTCTCAAAAAAAAAAAAAAAAGAAAAGAAAGCAAGTTGCCAGGTCCTCCAGGACTCAAATTGTGGTCAGCTATGTGGGAGTTCAGCCGCCTTAACCACTACGCCACCTACTGGCACCCCCGCCTTTTTTTAAAAAATTATTTACTTAATTTATGTATTATTATTCTTCAATGTGATAGGGTCAGGGGGAGAGGAAGAGTGAGAAAGCAAGTTGCCAGGTCTGGGATTCAAACCACAGTCAGCCATGTGGGACTCCAGTGCCTTAATCACCATGCCACCTGGTGGGCCCTATTTTTTGTTTTTTTGTTTGCCTTAAGGCACATATGCTCATGGAGAGAGACAGAGACAGTAAGAGGAAAAGTAAAAAAATCACCCCCCCAGGAGGGATGGCTACACTGTAATCCTTTTTCCTCCATTCTCATAGGATCTTGGGCACACATGTACACATGCCCAGTATGAGTTTCAAGCCACCAAATCAAGGACTCGAACCCCGGTCAGCCATGTGGGAGTCCAGTGACATAACTGCTACACCACCTGCTGGCCACTCTGCAAGAATACTGAATGAGCACACACTATGGGCTGGGCCCAAGTGATATGAGCCCCCCTAAGTAAGCCTAAGTCACAGAGATGTGGGTGGCTGCATGGGGCTAGAGACAGGGAAATAATAACATGCCCACAAAGTACAACAATCCAAACAAAATCCTAAAAGAATCTAAGAGAAAGGAGTTTAACATAGAAGGAAGAAGGAACACATCTTAAAATATTAGCTAATGCAGAACATAAGATTTCCTGCAATACAAAAGCAGATGCTTCCCAATTTCCTGTCCCTATTTCTGATCCTCCACTGTCACGTCTACCTGCTTTGGTGAGGATGTTCTCATCAGCCGAGGAATAGTCTGTCTCTGATTCTTCCTCTTCTGAGCCTCCCTCCTCT